CAAATCTACTGATTTACTATTTGAAGCAAGCCGAGTTAGCTTTAGATACTTTAATGCAATTCAGAACGGCCTATGTATTCCATGTCGTCCCGGCGAACTTGGTGAAATGGTTGGAGTTATCAGAAACAAGGATTTACTCTTGAAGTTTGAAGGCTATGTGAACAAGGGTGATACACAAAAGAAGATTTACCGTGATGTGTTTGAACACGGCGATCAGGTGGGATATCTTGGATAAACTTTGGTTTTGGTCAGTTATAATGTACGTTACTTTTGGAATGTTGAATATGGTGACGAGAACGCATTGTTGATTATTTGGGAGATTGATTTTTTTTTCGCATATTATAAGAATGCTTGTTTTGATAAATCTCAATTGCTCTTTCAATCATCGAAATCCCTTGTAAAATTTAGGCGCAGTGTTTCTGTATGAAAGAAAAATAGTCTTTCAGGTTTTTGCAAGCGGTGATATATTATATTGGGATAAACTAGGATACTTATACTTTAAAGATCGTCGTGGTGACACCTTTAGGTAAACTCTAGCTTTCTCTTTTATTTATTTTTCTTTTGAATGTTTTGCTTCTTTTCCAGGTGGAAGGGCGAGAACGTGTCCACAACAGAGGTTGAAGGAATCCTTCAGCCACTGATGAGTGTTGTTGACGCGACCGTTTATGGTGTGGAAGTGGGAAAGAACGAAGGTCGAGCTGGAATGGCAGCAGTAGTTCTTGCCGAGGGAATTGATGTCGAAGTGTGTTTTGCTAGATTTATGCTCGTACATGTTTGACTCACCAATAAAAATCATTTTCAGAACTTTTTGGTTGAAACTGCAAAGAGACTGATAGCGAATCTTGCGGGATATGCTATTCCCGTGTTCATTCGTCTCTGCAAAGAAGTGGATCGTACGGGTAAGGGAACAGAGGGTAGTCAAACTCACAGCCGTGATGTCACGCAAAAGTGTTCTCATTCTTGTTGTCGCTAGGCGTTGCCTTTCCTTTAGTACGCAGTTTTTGTGTGACTACGTACAGGGTGAAATTGACTTCAACAGGGGACTGCATCGGAATTGGCTAACATTCAGCAAAGTCAAAATGACAATTTTCAGGCACATTCAAGCTGAAGAAAATCGATCTTCAAAAGCAAGGATTTGATTTAAAGCTATGCAAGGGAGATCCAGTATATTACTGGAATGCAGCAGTCAAAGGTTACTCGTTACTGGACACAAAAATGCAGAACGACATAGAGAGTGGTGTGTATAATCGACTGTAAACGAGTTCTCATCTTTCTGCCTCTTCAAATCCGTGTATTAATACAGGTTTTCGTACATTATTCGAATGTTTTTCTCCAGAAGCCTGTACAGTGTATTGAGATTTTTGTGCGGAGTAAGGTCAACCAGTTGCCTCTTTATTCACCTTAGTTTAGAGCTGTGTACAATGTGCAGGATCCAGCAAACATTCTAATTCGCAATGTTAATTTTTGCCGCTACTCTCTCCATGTCAAGCCTATTTCTTCTCTTACCTCATCATTTTTCCCTTTTGTATCACTATTAGTTGATTACATCAATTTCGACCGCCCAAGATGCCATTCCTACTTACATTCCGTGCCTTAAATGATTTGCTCAGTATGTGACTTTAATATCATTGATTTCTAGCATTTTTTTTCCATATTACTGTGTGTAGTGCAATAGTTTTTTGGTATCGCACTAGTAATTATTAGTATTTTAGGTAATCATATATTGTTCTAAAGTATTCTAGCGTGTACTCATGCGTAAACGGTGTGATAAAGCCGTTTATGTTTTAGCAATATTCAAACATTTCAAAAAAAAGGACAGCTTATTTTTTACACCTTTACTTCTACTTTCTAATTATCGAATAGATCCAGGAATGCATTATGGGATCTCTATTACTTTCTAGCAAGATGAATTTTCTTTTTTAAAACAGTGTATGAAATGAATGTAATCCCTCTGTCTCCCTATTGCAGGAAGTATAGAAAAAGGTGGACCTTCTCAAGAGAGAAGCACCAATTCCATACTTATTTTCAATCTGTCTTGCTTTTTTTGGGAAATATATAACCTAAATTTTGCGGATGTCGTATCTTTCTGCGAGTGCATCCAGCATGGTACAAGAGAATGCTTGTAGACTAATATGGTGCATATCAGTCTTATGAGGTGAGTACACCTTTAAATACATGATATTCCAAACAGGATTTTATCTAGGGTTAAGTTAGATGCTTTTTTTGTAGCAAATAACTATTGAAAATATGAAAAAAGGAGAGTTTTGGGTTTTGGTTAAGGTCCAGAAAAGATCTGAAAACAAAAAAGTTAATGGTGATTGAACTACGATCACATTTTATGCGATATTGTGTGTACGTTCACAAATTCGATGATTAATTTATAAAAACTGAGAATTATTTGGTATGATAAGGCAAAGCTTTGAGGATTAAATTTGAAATTAATTATTATTACATTATCATTTTATTGCTCATATGCCCAACTATACTTGAATTACTCATATTTTTCAAACTATTACTTAAAATTTCATTATTCATTACTATCAATTCTAATCAAATTATTGCTCAAATTA